GTAAATGAAAAGAAAATAAAATTGCATTTTCTTTTAATTTTACATCTTTGCTATCAAGCATGAAAGGAAAAAAATTACATTTATTTTTCCCCTTACCCGTTCAATTTTTCCATCTTCCAATTTTTTTCACGCTACCAACCAAAACTTAAATCCTATCGCAGTATTCACAATTCAGGAACCCTTCGAAAGATTTAACATTTATATTAGAAATCATACATATATATATTAATAACTAAAAATGAAAAATCATGGAATAAATAAAATACCAAAATATGAAAGTGATGTACTAAACGCAAGAAGTACATCAAAGAGATGGTTACGTTATCTGATTCTGACTCCCACATAGCCCTGTACTGGATAACAAGATAACAACACCAATGTGCATACAACTTAAAGGTTAATATTGCCACATGTAATATCTAACATGCTTCCAATTTAACCCTTTCAAACTTAACTTGTAAGATAGGTTTTTTTTGTACACCATTTTAAGTTATTTTAAAACAATTACAACCTATTATATTACAAATAAATTAACATTTTCAATGCCGCTAAATCTATTTTGTTATGAATTTTTTTATATTTTCGTTTGTGCCGTTTTTTCGTTTTATATTAGTCTAACGTTCCTTATAATTCCCCGAAAATATAGGGGAGGGCGACGCTCGGGGTTTTAACGCAGAACTTAGACTCAAAGAAAATTAGGTAAATCCCTAACTAAGTCCTTAATCTTTTTAGGGTTTTTGAAACAGGCTGTAACTTTTACCTTTAATGCAATTTAATCACCAAATCAATTAGGGATTTGAGGGAAAATTCTCAAATTATAGGGTTTTAAATTTGGGAGAAAATCGAAGTGTTACAACTCTCCCTTCCTTAAAGGAAATTTTGACATCTAAATTTATCATAATGGAAATAGAGTGAATTAAGAAAATACTCTCAATAACGTCTAACTCATCCCAATTCTTATGTCTCTGAGTAGCTTATACCAACTTTGACTGTCTTACCGCTGATATAACTAAACCTCTACTCTGAATCAAATTACCTATACTAGCTTAATCGAAACCGGTAGATCGATCTTATTCTATACATCCAATCGACATCTAAACTGATTTTAAGCTTGATCGATCTTTAACCGAGAATTCTTACGGGATGTCACGTTAAACTATTTGCAAATGGAAAAATCCTAAGGTCAGAGTTGAAACTTGAAGTTCCAACCTAAAAATTTTATTTATCTTTTCAAAATAGGAAAAAGAAGAAGAAATAATTTTTATTCCGAAAAATTCTCATGTTTACCCAAAAATATTTATATGCAAGTAAAAATCATTTTGGCTAAAAAATTTTGTGGTCGAGCTCCACAGTCCGGAGGTTGAAACTGGCTCTGATATCACTAAATGTAACTCCTAAACACTACCTAAAAGAAATTAGATCGAATCTAGAGAGCCCAATTTAAATCTTTTTCCCTCGAGTAAACCATGTTCAGTTCAAACGTAAAACTTTACATTATAATTTGATGAAACAAATTCTCAAATTCCACCTTCATAATTTTATTAAAATAAATATCCGAGAAAAATAAACCGATATAAATGATAAACATTCAAAAAGTCATGCATGAACATTCCAAAAATAGTTATAATATCCAAAGTCTCAAATAAACCAATTAATAATGGCGGCTAGGGGCTTCATGATAAAAGGAATTTGTAAGGAGATGAAGAGCGTCATTAGGAGATTTGTGTATGGGAACTACAAATGGGAAGGCTGACATTTCCTTAGTTAGGTGGGATACTATTCAAAAATCGATTATTAATGGTGACTTGGGGCTTCATGATATGAAGCAACAAAATCGAGCATTTATAAGGAAGATAGGTTTCCAGTTTATTTTGCAACCTGAAAATTTGTGGGTCAAAGTTGTCCAAGCTAAGTATCACTGGGAGGATCCCCTTCCATTTACTCTTGACAATAAGAGTGGTTCTAGACTATGGAAGGGCATTACATGTGTTTGGAATGATTTTCTTGAGTGTATTTCTTGGAATATTCGAGATGGATGTGAAACGGATTTTTGGTACGATCATTGGTTAGATGGCGAAGAATGTCTGTCTTCTCCTATACAGGGTTGGGTTATCCTGCTCCTTTACCAGTGTACGCAATGACTAGTCCCCCAGGTTCTTGGGATTGGAATCGGCTTTCAAATGTACTGTCTGACCATATTGTTGATCTTATTGAAACGGTGCAGCCGCCCAATCCTCGATTAGGCCATGATTTGCCTGCTTGGCGATGGGAACCGGATAGAAGGTATTCTGCAAAATCTGCTCACAGATTTATAACGAACTAGGAGCCTGAGGAGAGTGCTATAAACTGGAAGATTTGAAGAATAGAGGTACCACAAAGAGTTAAAGTTCAGTTGGTTAGCAATTCAAGATCGTTTGTTAACAAATGTGGAACGTAATCGACTACATTTGTCAACATCTACCGATTGTGTAATAAGCGGGAAATGACCAGAAAATTCAGATCTTGTGTTGAGGCACTGTAAGGGTGAGGGGAGTGTGGAATTGGGTAGTTCGACTGAATGATTTGCTTGGTTTAACTATGCCATACGTGGATTAGTTGCAAACAAACCTTTTTTCGACTAGACTTTTAACTGACGGAATGAGGTGGAATATCATGTTTGTTGTTATATGCTGGCAACTTTGGAAGCGGAGTTGTAGTTTGATCCTTGATCCCAATTATGTTCAAAAAGAGGATTTTCTCACTCCATGCAATCGACTAGCTATTGAATTTTCTATAACTACATCAATGGTAGGTAATGTGGATAACAGCGAGTAAAGAAATAGATTGACCTAGATTCGGCGTAAGGATGGTTGGATCAAAGCAAATGCTGATGGTGCAGTGAGAAGCAAAGATTCTATGGCGGCTGCTGGAGGCTTACTTCGTGATTTGGAAGGTAAATGGATTTATGGCTTTTCTCTTAGTCTAGGGCGTTGCTCTGTTCTTATTACGGAGTTGTGGGCAGTTCATGATATCCTCGCTATTGCTTGGAGGTTGGGATATCGTCGGGTGGAAATAGAATCGGATAATTTGGAAGTTTCGAGGATTTGGTATCGTTCTTCTGATGCATTGGCCGGTAATTCTCTTGTTGCTGCTATAAATGACTTGCGTGATCGAGACTGCATAACGGAACTGCGTCACGTGAGGCGTGAACAGAACGCTGCTGCTGATTTTCTAACTGGGTGGAGTCGGAGTAAACATGTTGGAAATATGGAATTGCTGGAACCACCAAGAGATTTGCAGGATATTCCGCACATAGACATCCTTGAGTCATGCTAATTTTTTTTTTTATTAGCGTTCATTTCCTACTGTATTAGCAAATATATATATAGAATAAATGGTATTCATTCTCGATTCCATTGCATAATCGAACTTATATTGTTTAATTAATTCATTTTTATGAGAATAATTGTTTATTTTTCTTATATTTTACTGGTTAAATTAAATTTTAAAATTTTTTATAGTAAAAGCTATGAATGTTGGTCCTTTTTTATAGTATATTCAGTTTGGGGGCGCTTTTTAGACATTAATAGAGATATAAAGGCAAAAGAACTCGGTGGTCAACATTACAAACAGTTGCTTATTTTTAGCGTTTTCCCATTGTTTTTTTGGGAAGAAATCTCTTGTTTTTGCCCTATGTACGAATTGTAAACTCACGCATGGACAACATATCTTTATTCAAGAACCTCAATCGACATCGACAATAATAATTCCAGAATCATTCCAGCAAGTAATTGAAAAGATGAGCTAGCTTGGTTTTTGAACCTTCCTCAATAGTTATTGCCATAGTTGGGAGGTGGGAAAGGCGAGCCTTATCGTGGAGTCCGATGTTCATCTGTTGTGCAAGGAATTTGATGTCTTGTTATGGTTGTCTGGGTGTTCTAATATATTAAAGTTGGGGTTTGTTTAGTGGCTTCAGCAGGTTCTAGGAGTTTGCTGTTTGTATCCGTTAGTTACTACTGCTGTAATTTTGTTCCTTCTTGCTAGGTCGAATGCAAAAATTTTCTCTGTTTAGGTTTAGAGAAGTTTTTAACAAGGCATTCTTCCATAACGTATTATCAATAAAATCAATCGTTACTGAGCAAAAAATAATAATAGTAATATTTTCAGAATTTACTTGCAGATTTTCTCATTTCTTAACATACTATAATTCATTACCGCTAGCTGATACAGACTCATAATTTTATGTTAGAAAATAAACTTCTAATGTTAGAAAATAAACTTCTAAAATTTTAAGAATTGACAAATTTCATGTTCAATAAAAAATATATAATAATTTTAAGTTTGCATGAAGACAACTGTCCTCGTCCATCCTTAATACCGTTACACTAATTATTCTCTCAACTTCAATTTTGATAACTTCTCTCGGCTGCACTGCACCAGCTTTGTTTTCAATTTCACCTTCATTGTCAACACTATAGAATATTAGGATTAATATAAGAAGAAAAAATGGCCCTAGTATTCTCTTTGTTAGTTATGTTAAACTCCAATTGCAGCAAAAATACTATACGGAACTCAACGATTTTCCTTGGGACTCCAATATTATATTTATATAGTATAATATATTTTTCTTATATATTATTTAAATTATAATTACAACTAATACATAATATAATTTGTAGATATAATTATACAATTATAATTTAAACACTTCTATATATAACAATTTGCACTTTGTCCTACAAATTATCTTGCGAATGACATTACACTTCAACAAATAAAAATTTTGAACACAAATAATATATTATGTTAAGGAATGAGCTTCTAATAATTTAAAATTTTTAAGAAGGATGAATTTTTCCAACTGTCCCTTTCAATCCATCCCTATTTAAACATATTCGACGATTCATGTACCACAAAAAATATTAATTAAAAAAGTGGAAATTAAACTAAATCAACATATACATTTGAGTAAGGTGGCGCATATTAGATATATATCTATATACACACAAAAGTGCGCATATTATATTAGTTGAAAGAACATCTCCTTCCGTAGAATAAAGACATCAAATGATTATTGACACAATTACTTTGAAGTGAGTAATTGTGGAATGACTCAGATTCAACGAAGCTCGGCAACCACACACAATCCCTTACTTGCTTCAATGTTTGTGTCTGCACCAATCTCTGTCCCATGCAAATTATATCCACCTGTCATGCATCACAGAGAGAAGAAAAAAAAAACAACAAAAGCTTTGTCACTTCGAACAAACAACAATTTTCGTTGCCATGTTCATTTTATTTGCTGTAGGAGGAAAAAAGGAAGAAAAATCAGCAACGAGGTATTGAATAATTACCTCAGCTTCGTTGGAGAGACCGAGCTTTGTAACCAGGTACCTTTTAACCATGAAAATCGTCACGTTCTCGTCCCTTAAAATTATTTCCATTTTTAATTTTTTTAAATGGAAAAGGACAACAAAACCCAAAAGCAAAAGCAAAGTCAGCTTTTTTCTCACTCATTTTGCTGAACACCATCATTAGCTAGTTGAAAGATATGCAAAAAGAGAAAAGCACACACACACACGCACAAGACACTGATACGATCAAACCATAATGTAATGCTAACGTGCACCTCCCACTTACTTGACTCTAATGTACGCCTTTGGTATTTGAGGCAGTGCTTCCCCCTTCCTGCAGAATATGGTATAGGTAACGCAAACAATATTACAAGCCCTTCCTACTTGTTCTATATTCATGGAATTGTTGAAGGATTGTTTTCTTTCTATTTTTGTCAATGGAATTATATATATACATATATACATCTTTTTATTTTGCTAAATCAAGGAAATTAAAGTATGTAGGGGATGTGAAAGCAATGGGAACCGGTCGTACAGTACTGAAGAATCAGATAAAGTAGTATTAAAATGTATAAAATAGGAGAGAAAAAGAGGTTAAGGATGGATTGATTGAGATGGATAATACTACGAAACAGCGATGAGAATGGAGCATGTGAAAGAGAGAGCGTGCTGCGTGTATTAATGATGGCGAGATTGAAAACACAAAAGAAAGAGGTCTCACCGGTTGGTGTAGGAGTGAAGGGTAAACCACAAGCCAGAGTGGGGTCTGGTTCTCCTGGAGTAATCATGGTGATTATTGGGAACCGATATTTGCCAGTCGTTCTTCAAGCTACCTGAAGAAAGATTATCCATCTCATGGCATGGCCACCACAACCCCATATCATCATAATCATCATCGTCCTCTTCTTTTCCGTGGTCCAACCCTAAACCTAAACCTAGCTCCAACCCTTTGCTGCTGCTACTGCAACCAGCTGGTGGGTTGTGCTTGGATCTGAGATTTGAAGAAACAGCTGAGGCTGAAACTGGGAATGGAAGGGCAATGTTAGGGTTACTGGGTTGATGGTGTAGGTCGTTTTGTTCTCTCCTTGGTGGAATGCTAAACCCTAACCCTAACTCGAGCCATTGGTTGTCTTCTGAAGATGGGCAATTTAGATTTTCTTTACTGCTTCTCTCGGAATGCCAAAGAGAGGCCATTAGGAGGAGCCAGTTCTTGAGGACGTGTTAAGCAAAAGGGAGAAAGATATAATGTTTGGTTTGGTCCTTTTAGGGAATGGTAAACTTGCCTGCTCGTTTAAACCTAAAACTACACACTCCCTAAAAATCAATCCTCATCACTCCGTATTTTTCCCCATGAAATTATCGAAGGAAAATATACATGGATATTTTCATTTAGAAAATAATAGTATAATAGTAATAATATATGTTAAAACAATAAACCAATAATCAGTTGGAGTAATAAACGAGGTATTATATATTTTAAATAAGGTTAGGGGTTTGAATAATGACTATTACGTATAAAACTAATTGATTACGCTTAAAATTTTTTTAAGATATATATAATTAATAAAATAAATCAACAATAGAAAAATCAAATTTTAATATGAGAAATTGTTCACCCTAAATTTGACCTGAATCCTCCACTAATTAAATGTTGCGATAATTATATTATTTTTAAAGATATAATTTATATTTAAAATTTAAAACTAACCATACAAAAAAAATCTAAAACAACAAAGAAAATAATAACTGTCAAAGAGGAGATTGTTGAATAAAATTGTAAGAAAAGTGATTCTATGATTTTTTTTATATTATAATTTTTCTAAAATCATTAAATGTTGATAACTTGACACTATAATTTATTATTTAAAATAAATTTTATTATATAATAATAATATATAAAATACAAATCAAATTATCTCAATAATTAAAGTAATCTTTATTATTTCTAGATATCACAAATTTAACTATCAATAACTACAAAAATAATTATTTATTATCAAATAATTAAAAATATTTATAATAAATATTATTTTAGAGTCACTTTTAATTTATGGACACCACAATTGAAGAAAAAATATAAACATCATTGAAATAGAATTATAGACATCTATCAAAACTAACAGTAAAAACCAAATAGACTTGTCATGGAGGGTGAGATTGGACGTTGAGTCGAATTATTTCCATTCGTACTGTTTTATGGAATTTATATTATTTTATTTTTTAAAATCACATAAAAATATATTTAAAAGATATGTTATTTAATTAAATTCGACAACCTTCAAAAGGTTATATAATGAGTCGGTCATTTCTTTACCATTTACAATATTCGAAAGATATAACGTTAATATTTAATTAAATAATTATTTTAAATTTTTAGTATTTTGATTTGTAAAAAAATTATTTTAAGAGAAAATAATCACTAGCTGAATGAAATTCATTTATTTACGTAACAAGATGTATATATTTAAAATGTTGATGTGAAACGTATCGTGTTTATAAAGTAACGATATAAAATATACCACATAATTATTTATAATATATGTAATGTATATTATGACATCACTTTAAACATGTGACGCATCGTCATTTTAGATACATTAAATATATCGTGTAAGTATTTTAAATAAATAGATATTACCACATCAGTAAAGAGATTTACTATTAGTTAACTAGTAATTTTTATTAAACAATCATTTTGGTTTAAAACAAAACGTTAAGCGTTAAAATATTCTAAATATAAATTAAAATTAAAATAAATATTTAAATCAAAATTAGTAGATTTTTTATGGCAAATTTAATGAGATATTGTGATGGAGAAAATTTTGGCTAGCCTGGGCACTACATATTATTTTTTAATTACGATGAAAATGAACCGTGGATGAAAGAAAACGTTCATATCATCTGACATCTTTAATATGATGCCTTTCTCATAATGCATGCAGTTGAAACACTAAGTTTAATAAAATAATAATATAAAAAACATTAATTGATTTAGACGTTTTTCTAAAGACATTTAGATATCTTTCCAAAACACTATAATAAATATTCAATTCTAACAAATAATTTTTCCATACTCTAAATCAACTATTTTTTTCAACACCGTGATCGGGTGATTTTACCATTTTTCTTACATTACATCTATTCAAAAAAGAAACATAAATTGATAAAAGAGGTGTGGTTTTGTATCACTCAACCCCGTAGGCATTGATGATCTATGATGATGATGGGGTAAGACTCACACGGGGAAATTAACCTATCCATAGGGGCAAACGGATTGCCCTTTTACGAGCCATCCATCCTCATGCGTCACGTCTCAACAGTTGAAGAAGGAACTGGTAGGATTTTGGTGTTAGTTTCATGTGCAGATTTCCGGCCTAGAGTACGAAATCGCGATCCATCCTACTCACCAAGTTTGTGTCCCCTAATCTATAAATCACTAGCGGAGATGTTCACCAGCTTTGCACGGGATTTTTCATCATTATATTGCAGTAATCATTGTAAATAGTGTATACATATGATACTTGTATTTTCAAGCTTAATGCAGATCCATCACTGTCGGACTCTGGCTCATGTCCATGGAATTATTGAGCAAACTTGATTTAAATATTTGAATACATAGCTTTACTGTTTCAGATTATAATATGTAGAGAAAATATTATACACTCTGTCGTATGATTTGTGTTTTATATTAATTATATACATAATTTAAGAGATATATATGATCAAAAGATAAAATTAATTTTAAACGATGATTAGTAGATTTGATATATTTATTTTGACATGCGTAAAAAAATGTGATATATAAGTGTAAAAAAGTAAATAATTTTTTGATCGTAAGGACCAAAGAAGAAAAATGTTAAAAATCTAACAAAAAAAACTTAAACAAAATAAAGATAAGAATAAATCTAACTGTATCGGAAAATAAATTACAAAAGAAGATAAAGCTACTGAAAGAATATCAGATTCGAATGATATAAGAAAACTATCCACGAATGCAAAACGCGTATCCAAATCAATCCGAGGCTCCAAAGCAGAGAATATCAACGTAATAACAAATAAGTGTCATTTTAATCAGTCGGGCGATGTCAAATTCAACTCTGAGAAAAAAGATAAATGAAAACGACCGAAAAACTATCAAAAGACAGAGATAAACGTGCCACAAATAATGAGAGAGACTAATAATTTTTAAATTTAGAAAGAAAATTACATATAATTTTGTATCATTGATTTTTCAAATAGTATATGAATAATTTATTTAATAAATAAAATATCCACGGTTAACTCTAAAAATATATCACAAGTTATATATAAGGTAAGTCACTACCACTATTAAATCAGGTTCACATAGTTTTCAAGTTATTAAGTGAATTAATTATTTTATATTTAATTGATATTAATTTTTTAAATTTAATCTCAAAATCAAATATACATAACTAAATTTAAAATTAAGTAATAAAATTAAGTATGAAAAATATGTCGATGGTGCCGTATGTGGAGTGTCAAGAATGGCTTTAGCTGGAGGGGTTTTGCGTGACCATCAAGGGAAATGGATCATGGGTTTTAGCCGGAGCTTAGGGGTGTGCTGAGTCCTAGCGGCGGAATTATGGTCAATTCACGATTCTTTGGTACTCGCTTGGTATTCGGAAGATTGAACTTGAAACGGATTGTGCTCAAGCAATGGAGGCTATCCAGAATAGGAGACGGGAGAATGGAAATTAGGCGGTTGTTAGCATGATTCGGATGCTGCTACAACGGGAATGGGAAACAAAGTTGAGCCGGATAAAGCGTGAAACAAATTCTGCTGCGGACAGAATGGCAGCGATCGCTAGAGAACGAGCTATCGGGTCTGAACGTTTCCAGAACCACCAAGGGAGGTAGCGCTGCTACTGGAGGAGGATATGGCGTCGGCCTCTTAACTGTGCCTGCTGCTTTGCTGTATTTCAAAAAAAAAAAAAGTTTCAGTTATGTAAATTCAATAAATTAATTTAATTATTGTCGAGAAAAATAATTTAATTTAATTTTATCATAAATTATAACTAATTTAATTGAAACACCTATATATGCCCAACACGTTACAAAACTAACGCCTGTATACAACTAATACAACCGTAGACTCATCTAATGTCACGGAAGCAGTCATATTATCAAACATAAAATAATAAATCCTATTTTATCAATAATTAAAAGGAATGATATTTTTTATAAATTTAAATTCGAACAGTTACATTTATATAATATATATGTTTTTATTGTCAGTTGATTAACAAAATTCTCAACATATATTATTTTATAATCACTCAAACTAATAAAAAAATTTAAAGTGATTTCAATTAAACTTGAGTTAAATATTTCCAATTAAACTTTAGCTCCACTTGATTCAATTACACCCATAGTATTTTTAATCTTAAGTTATTTAAAAAAAAAAAAAACTTTTTGACGATATTTTTAAAAACAAGGGTAGAACGAAGCAGTGGCGGAAGGAAAGAGGGGCTATGGGGGTTTTGGCCCCTCCAAAATTTTAAAATTATAATATAAACCCTTAAATTAAAAAAAATTAATTTGGTCTCTCAAATTTTTTAAAAATTTAGATTAAACTTTAAATTTTTTTAATGTTACTGATTAACCTCTTTTCATAATTTTTAAAAATTCTCATTAAATCTCTCAAAATTTTAGTTAAATCCTAATTTTTTTAGAAAAAAAACGTAAACTAAACCAGTCAAAATATTTTAAAACTTAATTTAAACTTCTGAATTTTTAAAGTTTTAAATTAACTCACTAAATTCCACCAACGAAATTAAGTGAAGTAAAAAGATAGCAAAATGCTAACAAAAGGCCTTGTTAGCAAAGAAGAGAAGGAAGCACAAATACGAAAGCAATGGGTCAAAGTGGGGCTCACAAATATTGGTGCAAAATCAAAGGTTATATATATCTGTATGGCTAAGAGTGTTGAACCAATGCCATGGAAGATCATGGAGTGTAATCTTTTGGGTAAAAGCACATACAATCAAGTCGTCAGACATAATCATGGCAACCGGACCTACTATAGACCGCCAGAATATGGTAAAGAAACACAGTTTCAATTATTAGAGATGGCAAAATGAAATTGAATATAAAATTAGAATATGATGTAATAGATAAAGAAAATATATATCGTAAATCAACCTGTAAAAGACTCGAAACTTATATAAAATCATAACAAGCAGAATCAAGTATTATAAATCAAGTTGTGAAAAA